AATTCTAATTAGAAAAATACTTAATTTTATATCAATAAGGTATTTCATCTTTTACTCTGAGAAATGATAGAGACAGAACTGTATTTTTTTTTTTTCCTTTTGTGAAAAATTAGAAGTGGAATCATTAGTTCAATCAAACTTTAGGCTTAGGGGCACATAGGCTATGTTTATAATAGAAGTAATCTGTGTGCACATGTGAGCACACACGTGCACACACACCATTGCTCACATGTTAAGTGAAAGCTCATTGAGAATAGTTGGCAGATGCCTGGAGACCTTTGGCTATTTTATTATTATTATTATTATTATTAAGACCTTTGGCTATTTTATTATTATTATTATTATTATTATTATTATTATTATTTGTATGTGTGTATTGCCTGCATGGATGTAAGTGTGCCCGTGTCATGCAACGCCTGTGAAGGTCAGAAGACAGCATTGGATCCCCTGGAACTTGAGTTACAGACAGTTGTTAGCTGCCATGTGGGTGCTGGGATTCGAGCCCGGGTCTTCTGCAAGAACAACCAGTGTTCTTAACTGCTGAGTCATCTCTCTAGCCCCTGACCTTTGGCTATTTTAAGACTTTTTTGGTTTTTTGAGCCAGGGTCTCCCTGCAGCCCCAGCTGGTCTGGAACTGACTTTGTAAACCAGGCTGGCCTCAGTCTCACAGAGATCTGCTTGCCTCTGGCTCCTGAGTACTAGGATTAAAGGTGTGCACCACTGGGCCAAGTCATCCCAATGCTTCTTTGAAAGTCACATTAAGATTTCAAGACAGTAGCAACAGAAAATGTTACTCTGAAATTATGCCAAGATTTTTTTCTGCAGCTAGTGAGAGACGTTTCTAATTAAACAGTTTTCTGTGACACTGATTCCTCAAGCCATCTTTAGGTATTCTAAAGAATATGTGGAACATCCATATGTCATTTTGGTAAAGAAAAAAGGGCATCCTACACTCACTGGTCTAATAAAAGTCAAATATTCAAGTCTTGTACCTATACAGATGATTGAAAATGGTTGGAAAATAGGTTTTTGTGGGGACTGGAGAGATGGCTCAGCAGTTAAGAGCACTGGCTGCTCTTCTAGAGGACCTGGTTCCCAGCACCCACATGGTGGGTAACAGCTGTCTATAACTCTAGTTCCTGGGGATTCAACGCCCTCTTCTGACCTCTGCAGGCATTGCACTGTGCACGTGCACTTACATGCAGACAATACGCTCATATACATAAATAAAAATAATAAATATTAAAGAAAATAGAATTTTGTGCGTTCAGGCTTGTGTCTGAACTCCAGCCATCAGCCATGATGGTTCTTGTTTATAGAAAGTCTGTGAATAGAAAAGGTGTTTAATGAGCCCTTCAGCCTGTGTTAACAGTGTGAGAGATGCAGTTTTTTTGTTTTTGAACATATTCCCATAAAACTAATAAAGGCCTCTTAAATGCAACTTTGAAATAAAAGAAAACAAGCAAATGGGTTTAGAAAAACCAACAAACTCACTCAATAATGGTATCTTGGAATCTGTTGGAAATTCATGAGCTGGAAACTCAGACCAGAATCAGACTGTGTGTGCGTGCGTCTGTGTGTATGTGTGGCAGGGAGTGGGGAGGCACAGAATGCCTAATGAGACAGTCTGGCTGCTGAGGCAGGGGAGCCTCCCCAAGAATCTCAATACATCCTTTCAACCTAAGTTTTGTGGATACTGGTGGCAGTGTCTTACCTGGATTGCACTTTTTCACATTAGCCTTATGTGAATGTGGCACTTAAATGAAAGTCTTTCGTTTCTTTCATTGCTGCCCTTCTCCCACAGGGGGATATGGGGAGAAAAGGCACCTTCATCGTACTCACAAACACAGCACTTGGAGTACAAGGTAACCGTGTGAAAAGCCACTATAGTACATATTTAGAAAAGTCTGATTTCCTTTTCCTCATAAACTCTTCCCTTTATTTTACTTTTTGTCGGTGTTTTCAGGATGTATTATTTGGTAAAGATTAATTATTAATGCTGGTCACCACATTTTTCAAGTAGTTCTGATAGTTGTGGCTCATATGGCAAGTGGCATTGAAACTTGACCTGAACCTTATTATATCAATGAATTCCATAGACATCAGAATGGCATGTGATACTGTGGGAGGCACATGATGCTGTGGGAGCCTTTTCAGGGGGAGAACTTAAAACCAGTGAAGTCATGGCTAGGTGACCTGGAGGATTCTGCATAGCATTCAAGACCTCCTTTTCCTATGGGGCATTTTGAAAGGTCCTGTTTCTGCAAGAACAGTGGGAAGCTCACTCTCTTGATAAAGAAGACCAGTAGGAGGAACCTTTGTAGTAACAGGTTTTACCTGTATTTTCTTTTATAGATGAAATAGCAGGCCCAGGTGGCTTATGAATGCCCAAAATCCCATGCACAGACATCTGCTAAAGCCGGAGGCTGATAGGAACTAGCTTTGCTTAGTTAATTTAGCATTTATGATCAGTTTAAGTGCAGTGGTGCCTTATCCATAGGTGATCCACTTCTGGGCAATGCCTGAAGCCTTGGACAGTACAGATGACCTGCTTGTCTATCTTCCTTCATCCATACACCCACATACCTTTGTTTCTCCTTATCAGTGAGTTCCATATTTGTGAACTCAGCCAATCATAGATCAAGAGTAACTGGGAGAAGGAAACATCATAGTGTGGACTTTTTTTGGTCATTCCCTAAAAAATCCAGTATAGCAAATATTTATGAAGCATTTACATTGTGTTAAGAACTGTAAATAATCAGGATGACTTAAATTATCAGGATGACTTAAATTATATGAGAAGATGCATAGGTTAAATACTATAGCATTAAAAGACGAGCATCTACAGATTTTAATATCTGCTGGGGACGTGGGTTTTAGAACTGGTCCTCCATGGATACTGAGGGATCAGGTACCCTGCAGCATTGTCATGTAGAGCCAGCTAATCTGTCCTTCACTGTTTGATCACTTGCTGCCTCCTGTGTATATCCCTTCCCTTGTGCTTTGTGTCTATCATTAAGTAAAATAAGTTTACTTGGATGCAGGCACCATGCTCTATAGCAGTTCATCTGATAACCCCAGGTACCTATAGGTGATTGACAGACAAGTGGTTTACACAATGTGGATACTCCAGGCAAAGGGATGATTTATATCTCGGGTGGTAAAGAATGGGGTGACTTGAAATTTCATCTTGCAACTCAGAACAGTGAACAGCTTAAAAGTTAGAAATTGTTTACTTCTGGAATTTTCCATTTAATAATTTTGAGCTACCACATTTGTCATAAGCAACTGAAACCATAGACACTGAAGGCAAGGGAAGATTACTGTAAGGCATAATTCTAGGGTGGTCAGTATCATTTGAGGGGGGAAAAGCAACTTGTTTCATGTGTGTTCTGTTATCAGGCCAAGATAATTTTATGTGACATTGAAATTTGTTTTATACATTATGTACATTTACTGTGAGTACAGAGGTGACGGGTAGGTTCTGGCTTCTACTTATATCCACATTCTAGCTGTCTAGAAAACAAACAGTATCTGTCTCCCCTCCCCTGGCAAACAGACTCAAATGGTTGGCTGACATTCCTGGACAGATCATGTATGTTAATCTCTCTTTATCATATATCTACTTTCAGTTATGTTCTGTTAATAGTATTGCCCAGATAGTGTAGGCACCAGCCACATGAAAAACACGCTTAGGATTTGCCATAATGCACAGTTCAGCAGTACTAAACTCATAGTATACAGCTGCTACCATGCTCCATCTCTGTAACTTCATCTTATAGAACTGAAACTTGTACCCATGGAACAGTAATTTTCCACCTCACCCTCTAGTCCTGGGCATCTACATTTCTGTTTTCTGCCTCTTCAGTTGTGACTAATTCATCCAAATGCATCATACAGTATTTACCTTTTTGGAACTGACTTACTTCATTTCCTTATGCCTTCAAGTTACTCCCATCGGCAGCATATTAAAGGCTGTTTCTAAGTACTATGTACATTTTGTTATCCATTGCCTACCAGCAGGTTTGGCGGCTGCTGTATCTTGGCCATTGCTGATAATGCTGTTAGGAACAAATACGGCAAACTATCTCTTTAAGTATTTTAGCAGTGTTATCGTGTTGCAGGTTCTCCTCAGGCCAGCTGTGAAGACCCTAACCTGGATGAGGTCCCCTGCCAATTGGGGGGCAAGAGGCGCGGAGTCACAACACCCGGGAGTCGGGTAGAAGCAAGCACTAGGTGAGGTGCTGCAGGCTCCTTTAATGCAGGAGGGGGCAGGCCTTATATTTCCCTTTTCTCCGCCCCCAAGTCTATCATTTTCTGATTGGTGTGCGCCACGCAGTCTGTCAGCAGTCACTGGGCTCGCGAGCAGGGTACGGAGGCGTGGGCTCCTTTTGACGGGCTATTTGCGGACCAAGAAGTGAAGTGAATTCTCGCTGAATCCCAGGGCTCTGGGTCCACGCCATCTTTAGAGGCCTCCTGCTACAGTATTGAACATGACACCAAAGACAGCAAAAGAAAATAAGACAAATTGAACTTGATGAAGTGATCATGTCCTAGTTATTGGCCTATAACATATTTCCCTCAGTTATTAATAAAGGTACATATATTCTTGGCTCAATAAAAAAAGACATCAATAGGAAAAGGGAACCTGCAAAGTGGGATAAAATATTTGCAGAATCATACCTGATAAGGAATTGAGATGCATGACTAAAACTCAGCACAAAAAAAGAAACATTCAAAAATAAGCAAAGGACTTGAAAATACGTTTCTGCAAAAATGACACAAATAGCCAGTGAGCACATGAAATGATGTCCAACATTGGAGTATTAGAGGGTTTGA